GTGATTATGCACTTTTTTGTTCCCAGGTGGATCACTTCCAAAGAAGTGATTAGCTCTCCTGAGAGAGGTAGCATGTGCGTTCCACTGTTGACAATTCCAATTTGAAATTGGAATTTGAAATTGGAATTTGAAAGGTGACAGAAAAAGTAATACTTCAAGGCTGGAGCATTTTTTAACAGGCTGGACGAACAGGATTCTCATCAACCAGTGAGTTTATCTGTTGACTGGTGCTTGCCAACACCAACTTGGTCGCTCTTTAAGGTGGCTCACTAACAGGATTCTCATTGACATCATGATATATTTTCTTCCTGCCAATGGTGAGGGAGAATCCCACACCAGAAAAACTTGATGTGCTATCCTGGAAACAAAGGCAGCTTTGAAAATACATTTTAAAATCATTTATTCTCTGTCCCTGCAGGCTCACAATTTCTATCATGTTCCTATGTCTGACAACCAAAAATATAAAACCAGACACTTACTTTATCACATACATGTGCATGATGTATACACATGTTTTTTTTGGTTTCTGGCATGCAGAACATAAAAGGAAAAATCATGCTAAGCTGCTGCATTTAACCAGACAATTTTTCTTCTTTATGCAACCCATTCCAAGGGGCCATTTGTCACATCTCAGTGGAGAGTGCCTTCATCTCTTACTTCTTGGCCTCCTGAGGAGGTGGCTGCTCATTGTGAGGGTGGCTGGCTGCTTCATTAAGTTGATATCAAATTGTTGCAGCATTCATCTTCACATGATCTGTGTGCACAGCATGTTGAACATGTAGTCATTGCATACACATACACAATAAAGTGAGTGTCCTTTTCTTTGCTTTCATACCCTCCATCAATTCCATAATCAGTGGCCCACAAGCTGCTCTCACATCCACTTCATGGTGAACCTCACATCATTTAGGCTTAATTGGAGCACTATTACCAAAGATAAAATTCCACCTCAACAAAGGTCCATCTCACTGATAAAATCACTTTTAACTCCACACATTCCAAGTTTTTATGAAATCAAGTTGTAATCAATTAAAAATGTCAAATGATTTTAGCACAACAAAAATTTCGACCTCTCATCTCAAATGACCACAAGTTCAAGCTTCTTCACAGCCAATGGCTGAGTATATTGATGGACCTGCACTGACACAGCTGTGTGATAATGAATCTGCACACTCACAACTACCATAAATCCCTGAATCTCTAAAGGATCAGGTAGATTTGCAAGTGCACTCCAGACCATTGTCTCTGATTCATCACCACCTCAAGCATGAAAAGCAACCAGTACCCCAGTCTCGTTTTTGTTCATGCAGCTGATCCAATACACATCAGATCACATATTTATTTCATATTCCATGTTTGTGCTGTCTCATTTCCAACACACAGCAGTGATTGCTGCTCTGTACTGCTACCTCTCCCACATTCCCCTATCATCTGCCAACAAGGGCAACATCAGAGCTATTCCTGCAAGCCTTGCTGTCATGAGGACAAGGTGCTGCTGCATCCCTGCATGGCCCATGCACTTCCTTGCTTGAGGAGTGGATGACAACACCCTCCAAAGCACAACCAATGTCTTCACCAACCTCAACCCTCCCTACCTTGTTCCCTATGTTCCTCCCCTAGTACATTCTAAACTTGCAAGATTGTGTCACAGGGATTACATGAGCCTACTCTTTCACTATTCCAACTCAATCCCCTCCCTTCCCATCATCCCAAGGAGTCAAAATTCATCATCACCTCCCTTCAACCATATCCTCCTGGCACTCCTCAACCAGGCACTCCATCTGCAAGCTGACAACTGCTATTCTGAGAACAAACACTAACATCTTTGCCTTCATCAGTTTGACACTGAGGTTTCCACACAGCTGTTTTCCCACCACCCTGCACCCCTTCACCTCTGCTGAGCTCACTCAGTGGCAGGACCTGCTTCACTGCACAACTGAATATACAGCCAGTCCTCACATCATGTTTATCCCCTCACTCCACACACCTCTGACTGGCAATGCACTTGCTTGCTTTAAGGCCCATATGCAGGTGTCACACCAATGACATCCTCAGTACACCCAGCACATTGTGTGGGGGAAAGAGAATGGTACTAATGGGGAGAGCTGCTCTGGTAGGCCTCCAACCACTCACCCTGCCCTCATGGGTGTGACCAACAATGAGGAAGCTGAAGTATTAATGTGAAGATTTAACCTGGACTCTCCCCCAGGCAACTCCCATGCTGTGTGTAAGAGAGAAGAGACCTATGAACCTGACCTGCAGGAGATCACCAGGCAGGATGTGACCTCAATGTCAAGACCTACATCTGGGCCAACATACAGTTGCTCCTCTCTTGTGTGTGTGTAGTGTGGGTATGTGTTGTGTGGGTATGTTGTGTGCTAATGATGTGTGTTGTACAGATCATCTTCATGGTGGGCATTATCATGGTCTTGCAAGTGTTGGCCTATGTGTCACTCCACTACCTCAACAAGCCCAAGAAATTATAGGTATTAAGGGTCCATCCTACAGTTATGTCATCAAAATGAAAAAGGAGATGGAAAATTCTATCAAATGAGATATTGGGGATAATGGGGACATTCAAACTTGTCATGCTCTGAGGGAGTGAGAGTTTGGAGTGTGGTGTGGCTGCACTTATGGGCTTCATTGTCTGCATAAGGCTCACAGACAAGGTGTGAAGGCTCAAAATAGGAGCCCATAGGTTCATGTGGCACAGGTGGGAGGTGGGTGTTGCTGAGGAGCTCCACTCACCACCTGAGACATGGAGCATGAGCTGGTGGAGATACTGCTTGAGTTGTATGCCACCACAACTCAAGCTCACACATGCATGGGGAAGATGACCAGAGAGGAGGAGAAGGCAGGGATGGACATGAGGGCTGGCCACAAGGTGAGGTGGGATGTGGATGACGATGATGTGGGGCTGGTGGCCATGGAGGACATTGAGCAGGCGCTGCTGCACATAGCTGGTTGAGAAGAGCTGCTTGTGTTCTTGAGGAGGCAAGGTGGCAAGTTGTTGGCGCTCCTTGGTGTGGTGGGCGTTGGTGTGCGGCCTGTTGATCTGGTGAGGTGAGGGAGGTTGCTGTGTAATGGCAGTTGTGAGTGGGTGTATGATGTGGTCAAGGTCAGCCCAGCTTGCTGGGTGGTCAGAGAGAGGTGCAGCTCACTGCCAGGACATTAGACAGCAACCAGAACAATTTTTTGACCTTTTCAAAGCTGAATGGTCACACCTTGGTGCATGAAAGATGGAAGGTTGCATCTTTCATTCCACCTTTTGTGCACCTTGGTGGATGGAAGACAGAACTTTCCACCTTCAAGATCACCTTCCTTGCACCACAGTTCAGTGCAGATTGGTGACATGGAAATTATCACAAGAAGATGTAAAAAAAAGGTGGTATTCATGTGTATTGTTTTCTGTATTCTGAAAAATACAACTACTGAACTCAAGGAGTACAAGGTCAATTATTGCTCACTTGCACTGTACAATGGTGAGATCATCACTCTGCTTGCACCATGCAAAGAGTTTGTCACAGTGGTTACATGTCTTGTGAGTTGTGTGAATGGAGTACTGAGTTGCTTGCCAAATATCATCACCCAAAGGAATGCAAGAGATGATTGTGAAAGACATGCAAGCCACACCCATCACTGTATGTCAAATTGACCTTTCCCATTACTTCATTTTGGATTTCTAACACCCTCAAGGTCCAGTCATTTTGAAAAGTGATTTTGTTTGTGAGTTTAAGCTCATAAAAATAGTTTTGATAACACAAAAAATGGTTTTAATTTGAGAATAGCAAGACAAAATTGGGAGCATCTTGAGAAATGGCAGATTAAAAATACCATCACAATGAGAGATATGATGCTGTAACTGGGCCATCAGTCAAGGTCTGGAATGACCAATTTCTATCATGTACATGTTTTGGTACACTTACTTTATCGCGTACGCGTACGCGATGACTACGCACATTTTTTCGGTACTTTCCTGAACGGCTGGCACACAGAAACCATAAAAGGAAAAATCACAGCTGCTGGGAGTTAACTGGACAAAAAGTCAATTTTATTCTTTACACAAGCAATTCAGAGGGGCTGTTTG